TAAACTTTTGATTCATACATAACACACCTATAAATGACATAACTATCAAATTTAAGCTACAAGACAATGTAACGTTGTTGCTGAAATAGCTACCTTTCTATAAATAGCATAGAATATATCTTTAGACATGTATGTTCAGATACCTTTTTTCTAAGTTTTCCGAGCAGGTGTTCTTCATGTAGTTACGTCATGCTTGTTCACTGGATGGCAAAAGGTCGTAAACATGCACAATTCTTTTTCTTAGGTGAAAACAATGACATATATTTCCACCATAGATGTATGTCTGCATCCACTCTCTGCGAGTTGAAAGTGAGATTATCTCCTGCATATTTTATTTGGAATTGTCTCTGACAAATGAAGCTTTGGATTATGAGATACCACACCAGATTCTTCGTCTGATGTAAAATCAAGGTGTAATTCTTTCTGCCCTTATCCTGTGCACATGTTTTAGGAAAGTATTTATTTACCCTAGCAGCCTGTATAGCCGTCACGGAACACAGAAGTCTGCCATTAAGTTAAGACTTGCACAGACATATTTGTCAATAAAGATTCCGACTTACTGTTCATTTACGTTTCCTCTGCTTTCGGTGTGAATTCTCTACAATATGTTTATAAACTATACATTCTTGTAGCTTCTTTTCAACTATATTATTGGAGGATATTGTTGCGTCAGCGAGGTCACGTGACTAGTGTCACGCCACTCGTTCTCTCGAACCTTCGTGAATTGTCGGGAGATTACTAGATATAGTGTTAGTCTTGTATATATGTAAGACGGTCACAACGTGATGGGAATGTGTGTAGGTAGTGAGTAATTGAACTGCAGTCAGAAAGTATTGTTGAAGTTCGTTGTTATAGCGTTTGTTATAGAGCGACTGTTGAAAATAAGTGTATCGGTAAAGTTATATTCAGAAAGAATAAACCAGTTTTATTAAGAAAGGACTTGTGTCGTTAAAGTTTCGTGGGAACGAAATTACGGAAAATTAACTAACGAACGGAGACGTAACAATATTATTGTACCTGAATACAGCAAAAGTTCTGAGTCATGACTTAATAGTTGTGATAACTCAAGACCAGTGTGAATGGGCGTTTAACTAACCAAAACTTTCAGCAACAACATACGTGCGATAAGCTTAATGGTAGTAGTTTCAATCTTGAAAAGCATTTGTTAATTTGAAAATAAAATTGTTCGTATTTAGAGTAAATTACAGTATTTCAGTAGCGGGAAAAGGATAATCTAATCCATCACTGAATAACAGTGAGGACGTTACACCACATTTTTTCTCTATAAATTTATGAGTATTATAGTAAAGGAACCAAGTTGAGTTCCCTTTACCAAATATGCAAAGTGGATTTTGTAGTTGAAAGATACTTGAAGGTCTGACATGTCAAACAAAAAAAAATTAAACAGATTTTGAAGATATTTCTGAAATTTATATAGATTCAGAAATTATGAATATTTTAGTTTCTTTAATAGCTGTAAGCCTGAAATCAGTGACTTCAACAGAAGTTTGTACACCAACTTTATTCTGCGTCTGTTTAAGGGCTGTTTCAACATTAAGGTTTTATATTATCTTGGATATCGATAATCTTAATATCCAATATATCTTGTTATATCAATCTGTGTATATCATTTAATTTGTACCTGAATGGATATCTGTATTAATTTTTTTTAATTATTTCTAATAACCTTTTTAAACGAGTAAGACCACCTGCGTCATTGATGTGAAATATTTTGTGATTTTTCGAATGCCCTTTCGTTGGACGTTGTTCTCAAAAATTATTTCATGTTAATTTAAAAATGTTATTTATCTGGATTGTTAATGAATAAATTTGTTTGTTTGTTAAGGGCAAAGGTAAGTCTGAAGGCTGATAACACTAAAAGCCTGGTTCCGATACCCACGGTGGGCAGATCACAGATAGCCACAGAGCTAATGGAAGCACGATAAATAAATACGAAGATATAAATTATTTCTGTCAGTCTATACAGCAATGGTGATCTTCAGAATCCTGATCCTTGCCCTACACTATGAATGATAAGATATTGCAAAGGTAAGTAAAACTATATTTGGGGAATGATGTATTCTATAACCAGCTCAGGCACGGATTTATAATCATCCTCTGAAGTGGCTCAGCATGGAAAATAATCGGGGAACACTTATTTATGCATATTGATCGTTACAGTATCGGAAGTTTATATTTTCCAATTTTAACAGTATGACAATATACATTATAGATCAAATGTCTGAAACTTTTCATTCCTTATTTCTATATATGCAGGTAAAGTAAAAAGAAATTTTATATTGATTCATTTTATTATTTATCTTTACGAGGAAAAATATTTTAAAATACTTTCTTAGTACTAAACTAGTCATTTCTAGCCCTCCCTCAACCCCCTCAGATTTGACAATTGTCTTACATTTGGGCATAGTGGTCAGCAAGTTTATAGCTGGAATTCTGATCCACAATTATTGCAGAATGGCTTCTCTCTGGCCATAAGGGATTTCAGCTGTCACCAGAGATTCTTAAATGGATTTGAATCTGGACTTTGAGAAAATCACTTCATTACTTTTATTGGTGTAGTTTTTACTTTTTCATCCAAGTACCTTTTATATATCAAAGCCTTGCTTAACTTCAAATCCCAGGCCAATTAAAACGAAGACCACTTGGCAAGGCATGCTGGAACTATTCTGTCTTCACAATCCCTTCACTCGGTCTCCAGCATCAGACAAATTGAAATGCCTCTAAACCAATTTTTACTCTCCACCTTGTTAAATCATTTTGTCTTTTCAATGGTTCTATTTTGTCATAAAAACTACCCTTGAATTTAGTTTCATCAAACAACATAAAAAAATAATTTCTGTCATTACTCTAATTTTGGTCCTTTATAAAAAGCCAACCTGTTTAGCTATGATGTTCTGTGATATCTCAAGGTTTGTAGTATCACATCTCTCTCAACACAGAGTTTACTAGTATCACACAGTAGTGGTGTATCACTCTCAACACAGTTAACTAGTATCACACTGTAGTAGTGTATCACTCAACACAGAGTTAACTAGTATCACAGCAGTAGTGTATCACTCTCAACACAGAGTTAACTAGATCACACAGTAGTAGTGTATCACTCTCAACACAGAGTTAACTAGTATCACACAGTAGTAGTGTATCACTCTCAACACAGAGTTAACTAGTATCACACAGTAGTAGTGTATCACTCTCAACACAGAGTTAACTAGTATCATACAGTAGTAGTGTATCACTCTCAACACAGAGTTAACTAGTATCATACAGTAGTAGTGTATCACTCTCAACACAGTGTTAACTAGTATCACAGCAGTAGTGTATCACTCTCAACACAGAGTTAACTAGTATCATACAGTAGTAGTGTATCACTCTCAACACAGAGTTAACTAGTATCATACAGTAGTGTATCACTCTCAACACAGTGTTAACTAGTATCATACAGTAGTGTATCACTCTCAACACAGAGTTAACTAGTATCACACAGTAGTAGTGTATCACTCTCAAAACAGTGTTAACTAGTATCACACAGTAGTAGTGTATCACTCTCAACACAGAGTTAACTAGTATCACACAGTAGTAGTGTATCACTCTCAACACAGAGTTAACTAGTATCATACAGTAGTAGTGTTTCACTCTCAACACAGTGTTAACTAGTATCACACAGTAGTAGTGTATCACTCTCAACACAGAGTTAACTAGTATCATACAA